ATCTGTCTGTCTTTGTAATTGTGTCTGTTCAAGAACTCATCCTGAATGGTAAGAGCTAGGACCACCAAATTTGGTATGCAGCTTCCTTTTATCAAGCAACATTAGGTAAATCTTCTAGTAAATAAATACTAATATAGACTCAGAACAGTATAACCAAATGTGATCATGTGACCAGACATGATCCAGATACATTTCTAACAAATTCCTCAGGCCTGCAAATAAAACCTTATCCCCATTGGCAAAAAACCCCAATCATCATAAAGTGGGTGACTCACTAACTTTTCCTACAACAATAGATTTGACACAGATCAATAGTTTACAACATTATCAATATCCAACAACAATTTGAACATTGACTTCCATGGTGCTTGAACTGGAACCCCCTCGTTCCACGAGGAGTAACGGTAGTTCGAAAGCCTAATTCGAACTACCTACTCCGTGTCACGTGTAGCCACGGGCACGGAGTACGAACTACCGGGAATTTAAAAATGGCGGCGCCCGGCAAGATGCAAATGAAGCCCAGGATATTTAAATCATTTGCAACTTCGATTGACTACATTAACCACCCTTGTTCCAACTAGGGTGGTAGTGCAGACATACCCAGAGTGATCTGTTAGCACCATGATACCATACCTCGCAGCTTTCTAAAACCTATTGCATTTATAGTCTCATACTGTCTGAATGTCTCACTGAAACAATGGAGTTCTATGCACTCATCTCCTCCCAAAGTCAAGCTGTATATCCATGAAATTATCTATCCCCAATTTTCAATACATCCTAACCTAACTGTCAGATGTATATTTGTGAAACTTTATGCTGACTGTCCAAAGGGAAGGTGTAGCCCATTGGGGCTCTCAGAGGGACTCTTACCTTCTGGGTTAGTGGTGGCCACACTGTTCCTCACTCCAGGGGAAAAGAACGGTTACTTACCTATAACTGTAGTTCTTTGAGATGTGTTGCTCATGTCCATTCAAATTAGGTGTGCACACTGCGTGCACCGCGTCTTCCGGAGCGTTTTCCCTACCGGTACCCGTAGCGCCAGCAGGGCACCCTCTGGAGTGGCGCCGCCATGGCGGGGCATAAGTACCCCTTCTGGCTCTGCCCCACCTCAGTTCCTTCTTGCCGGACACTCTGATGAAGGGGAGGTAGGGTGGGAGTCGAATGGACATGAGCAATACATCTCGAAGAACAACAGTTACAGGTAAGTAACCGTTCTCTTCTTCTTCGAGTGGTTGCTCATGTCCATTCGAATTAGGTGACTACCAAGCTAACCCATTTCAAGGAGGAGGGGTCGGAGCAGTCAGAAACAAAAGTCCACGAAAAGTTGAACAACCCAAACAAATTTATTCAACCAAGTGAACACAGAAAACTTGTATAAAGTGCAATGTGACACTGATAAACTAAACATATTTACAATACAGAGCTGAGGACTGCAGAGCCCACCCCTGCATCCTGCCTGGCCTGTTGCGCCAGCGCGTAGTGTGCCGTAAAGGTGTGGAGTGAAGACCACATGGCCGCCCTGCAAATTTCGGTGATTGGAACCTGCGCCCCAAATGCAACAGAGGACGCCTGCGCCCTGGTAGAGTGTGCTGTAACCTGGGGTGGGACCTTCCCGGCCAGGGTGTAACACTCCCTAATGCACCCTGAGACACAGTTGGACAACCTCTGGGTTGAAATGGGGAGCCCTTTCACCCTGTCCGCGACAGCAATAAACAGCTGCTGAGACCTGCAAAAGGGTTTGGTCCTATCAATATAAAAAGCTAGCGCACGCCTAGCATCCAGGGTATGGAGCACCTGCTCCTTGGGTGAGGCATGGGGTTTTGGAAAGAAAACCAGGAGATAGATTTCCTGAGACAAATGAAAAGGTGATACCACCTTGGGGAGAAAAGCTGGATGGGGGTGGAGCCTCACGTTATTGTCAGAAAACACCAGGTAGGGCGGATTTATAGTCAACGCCCTCAATTCGGAAACTCTGCGAGCCGACGTAATGGCCACAATGAATGCAACCTTCCAGGAGAGGTGCTTCAAAGAACACGTAGCCAGCAGCTCAAAGGGGGGGTGACATAAGTCTAAACAGCACAAGGTTGAGGTCCCAAGTGGGGAGAGGGAGTCTAACCGAGGGATACAACTTATCCAAACCCGTAAGGAACCTTTTGACCACAGGGTCAGAGAACAGAGAAGCTCCTGCCGAATCAACATAGAAGGCGGAGAGAGATGCCACATGGACTTTGAACCTAAGTTCAAAAAGATTCTGCAGAATGGACGGGACAGAGGCACAAAATGGGTGCACTCCCCTGTGGGACACCCAAGACGAGAAGTGCCATCACTTAGCAGCGTACAACCGTCTAGTAGAAGGTTTTCTACTACTTAGGAGCACCATCTGTACCTCCTGGGAACATTCCCTTTCTGGTTGATTCAACCATGGATAAACCAGGCCATTAGGTGCAGAGTCTTGAGATTCGGGTGAACCATGGTCCCCCCATCCCATGGTTGGGTTAGGAGATCCCGGGCTGGCGGGAGCGCTATCGGCTCCTTGGTGGACATGTCCACCAGTATGGGGAACCAGAATTGTCTGGGCCACCTGGGGGCTACCAGGATGACTGTGGACCTGAAGGTCTTGACCCTGGTCAGAACCCTGGGAATTAGGAGGAATGGGGGGAAAACATAAAGGATGCCCGTCGGCCACGTGACCGTCAAGGCATCCCCCCAGGAGTGTTCCCCCAGACCCAATAGGGAGCAGTAACTCTGACACTTGGTATTGCGTGCCGAGGCAAACAGGTCTAGTAGGGTGTGAGGGGGTCACTCACCACCGTAGCGGGGGTCCGTCGTCTGTCCCCGGAATCAGTCCATTCCGCCCGCACAGGCCTCCGCTCACATGGCGTTTCCCCTCTGGAATCTTCTGGTCGCGTTGCTCTCTTCGCCACACTGCCCTTCGGCAGTGCCCAAGTCACTCGCTCTGAGCCCCCCTTCCGGGGGTTTGGTGTCTCTCC